GAAAAGAAACAAGTTTCAGAAAAATTAGTTATGTTATCTCTCTCTCTTGCATATATATATATATATATATATATATATATATATATATATATATATATAATATATATATTTGAGACTCAAACCCCATGCATTCTGGGCAACCAGTTTTAGAGTTAGAGTTTTTAGTTTCTCAAACTGAAGAACTATATTGTCGGTAGTGTTAAAGGAATAGCATGACACCACAATGTTCATGGCAGCATTATTCACAATAGCCAAAAGGCAGAGGCATCCAAAATGCCCACTGATAAAATAAAGGATAAAGAAAATGCAGTATACACACACAATGGCCTCAGAAAGGAAGGAAACTCTGACACATGCTACAACATGGATGAATTTTGAGGATGTAATGCTAAATGAAATAAACCAGACACAAAAAGACAAATACTTATATGATTCCACTTATGTGAGGTACGTAGAGTAGTCAAATTCATAGAGTCAGAAAATAGAATGGTGATCACTAGAGGCTGAAGCAGGAGGGAATGGGCAGTTATTGTTTGGTGGATACAGAGTTGTAGTTTGGTATGATGAAAAAAGTTCTGGAAATGGGTGATGGTGATGGTTGCACGACAAGGTGAATGAACTTGATTCTACTGAATTGTACACTTAAAAATGGTTAAAATGGTAACTTTCATGTGACGTATATTTTATTTACCACCATTAAGAAAATAGTATGCAATCATCTTTAGGCTTAGTTTAAATTACTTATTCATAAAACAAGAGTATCATAACTCATTATATTAATGAGTGGCATAACAGCCTACACTGATGCTTAGCATACAATCTGAAAGAGATTTTAAAAGGCATCATTTTCCAGAAAAGCACTGAATACTTTCCTTTGCCTATAAAATACCCTTTTATGTTAATATTTTCAAGAAAATATTAAAACAGGGAGATTATTCTGGATTATCTGGGTAAGCCCAATGTAATCAGAAAGAGAGATCCTTTCCTTTCTCTCAACTGGTTCTCCCAATGGAGAAGTGGAGTCAAGGTGAAGGTCAGAGTGATGTGATGTGAGAAGGACTTGACCAGCTGGTGTTGGTTGTAGTAGTTAATGTTAACTAATACAATTTTAAATTTTCAGAAAAATTAAAATATGTAATCTTTGGACCTCTGGCCTTTCCAGAGTTCAAGGTTGGATCTAGACACACACAAAACAGGATTCTAGTCTTCCAACATTTGAATTGAGCAATCTCAAAGTCCCAGCTGGACAAGTTAGTCATTGACAAGCCTTTAACTCCAACAGGGAATTATAGACAAGTTGGTTGAGTGAGCACTTTCTCTTCAAGGAGAGAGAGAAATGAATGAAATTTCACTTGCTCTACCTCCCCACTTTACAACTCGAAAGATTGAAAACCTGGAGATGTTACATGATTTGATTCATGTTTCACAAAGAACTTATCTTCATAGAAAAGAAGCTAAAGTGTCTTTACTTCCATTTTACCAGGTGTTATGGTTGATGTGTGTCCCTAAAAAGATATGTTTCTCTCTACCCAGGAATTGTGAACAAGACCTTATTTGGAAATAGGGTCTTTGCAGATGTAATCAAGTTAAGATGAGGTCACTAAGGTGGGCCCTAATCCAAAATGACTTGTGTCCTTAAAAAGAGAGGAGAAGAAACACAGAGACAGAGACCCACCCGGAAGGATGACATGAACACATGCAGGGAGATCACCATGTGACTCCTGAGGCAGAGACTGGAGTGAGGTGTCTACAAGCTAAGGAGCATCAAGGATTTGTGTCTACAAACCAAGGAGCAACCACCAGGAGCTAAGAGAAAGAACCGGAACACATTCTCCCCCAGAGTCTCAGAGGCAGCACAGCCCTTCCAACACCTTGATTTTGGACTTCTAGCCTCCAGAACTCTGAGACAAATTTAAGCCACCCAGTTTGTGGTACTTCATTAAAGCAACCCTAGGGAGCTGATATATCAGGCATCCCCTTAAATGCCAAGCAACCAATGCCTTTATCAAAAGCCCCCTTGTATTGTCCAAATTATGCCTCATAATTTATGCTTAGAGGAGAAATAAGATTGAGAAACAATCATTAGTTCTGATGATAAATTTTTTTTATTAATTTGAAGAAAAGCAATAATGAGTCTCTAGAAGAAACAAACAACAGTGTTGGTAAATGCTGCAATACTATTTCTCTGGAACATGCCATTTTTCTATTAAAAAACATTTGTGATTGATATCACCACAGAGTTTTGTTCTTTTTGTCTAGAATGAATGTCGCTTTGTGGCTAAGCTCTTTCATATAAAAATTTTACTTCAGAAGATAACATAATACAGTGGTTGGAGAATTCTGTCATTTTTCTTTTGTGGACCCCAATCCATGACCTGGCAGTACTACTACTGTTTGGATACTGCTTGGTGAGGAAAAGGAACATTTGGGAAATCCTCCATCTCAGAAGTCATGCGTTGATGGGGCAGAGCCAGGCTCACTTGATGAATCACATTCTGGAACAATCCCCAGCTTTGTGAGACACATATTTCCTTTCAAGCCAAGAGTCTCTGCCCCCAGGGAGCCCCATCTCTGGCCCCACTTAAATGCTCACTGGGTTAAGTAATAAGGTAAGGCTGTGGAATCTCAAATTCCCTCCCCAGGATAAGGAAGGAGCAAGACAAAGTCCAGGCTGAAATACATGATTTGCCTGGAGAAGGAGGGAGGTAAGTTTTGACTCCCACTCTATAACCCCCATGTCTGGACCTTCTCATTTTCACCACCTCCAAATTTTATGCAAACATTTCCTCTTCCCAGATCCACAATTTTCTCCCCACGTGAGACTTCTGTTAGCTCTCATCTGACTCCTACGGTGGTTCTTTGATCGGCCTTCCTGGCCACAGCCTTTGTTGGCACCTGAGCTTGTGGCCAGATGAATCTTCCTTAATATAGTTTTAAAAACATCACTGCCATTCTTAAACTTTTGAATTTATATTTATGATGTGCAAGATACTGCACTTTATTGAGACATCATGTTGGGGAAAATTTCAATAAGCATCTGATGTGTACAATACTTTGCTTTTTTTGGAGGGAGAGGGCTTGTAGGATCTGAATTTGGGATAAAGTAGGGGATGTGAGGAGGGAGCCTTTCAAACTTTAACAAGCATCAGAATCACCTGGAGGGCTTGTTGAGATACATTGCTGGGCCCCACCCAGAGTTTCTGATTCTGGAAATCTGTTCCCTTAAAAACAAGTTCTCCAGGCAATTCCTTGCTTCAGGCCGTGTTGCTCTCAGAGAAAATATACGGGGAGGAAGATTAAATGCCTCTACCACTGCTGGCAAGAGCTAGTGCATTCAAGTGTTTATTCAGATCCTGGCAATGATTGTCTAAGGTTGTATTGATTGGGCACATAATCAATGTAGAAGTGTATGCACCTGTGGTTTAGCAAACCCATAACCCACCCTCCATGCACACGGTTGTGATCTTTGTTCCTTGGCAAAGTCCCCACAGAGTTAGAGAGTTTACTTTGTTCCTTCCCCAACACACCTCTCTCTCCCTTCATTCCGCCTCCTGGCATTGCCCATTCCTGTCCTGTTTGTTTAAATTCCGGTGAGTGGGAAGTGTGTGCACCGTTCGGCATCGTCTCATAACTATGTTTTTCCTGACTCCAGTCTTGGTAGCAGTTGTCTGCATTTTGATTGTGTGGATCTTTAAAAGTGCTGATGGAAGCATCGAGAGAGGGAACGGGGAGCCTGGAGCCACGGTTGAGGCTCGACCCTGGGTGGATGAAGACTTAAAGGACAGCACTGACCTCCACCAAGAGGAAGAAGGTAAAGACACGGGCAACACTACTTAGCTTCCACCGTTTGCATTTTTATGATGCGTGCAAGTTGATGGCAGGGCTTATGGAGGGGAAGAAACTCATGCAGGTGAGTTTCCTAATCAACCTCTATCGTGCAAGCAAATTAGTGCTTGACAGGGACATGTTGTTTCTCTCAGGTGGTCAGCTTGTTACCTGCTGGCACCAACTCCCCGTCATTCCTGGATGCTCATTAAAAAGCTGACGACGGCTGACACTGTCCTTGGCTCCATCATGCTCGCTCTGGCTGTTAAAACCTTTCTGAAGGGGCACATCACAGGCTCCGGGTGGCTGTGGTCAGGTTTTGATAGAAAATTTAGAAAAATTTAAAAAATGGCATCTGTTGAGGGACTTGCTACCTTTCATTGTGCCATGCCCTGTGGCCACTGTCTTCAAAACCGAGTGTCCAATTCAGTAGACGAGGCAATAAACAGGCCACATTTAGAGAAAGTGTTTTAAGAAGGCTTGAGGGCGTGGTGGGGCAGCTAGGATAAAGGACAAACCAGGCTTGGTGAATTAAGAGGACATGAATAGCAGGGGTTAGGAGACACCGCAGGTAAGAGGAGCAGATAGAGTATCAGCATAGGGACTGAATCCCTGGGAAAGGTGCCGAGAAGATGGGAAGACTGCGCTGATCAGGGGAAGGGGCGAAATGAGATGGGGGAGGGCAGGCGGGCCGGTCATGGCTGACTGAGAAACAAGAGGTGAGGAGCCTTGGGTAACTGAGTCTGAGGTTCGTCTGAGGTGGGTTTGTGGAATGGATTTGATGTGGAAGAGGCTCAGTGATTATCAGCTGGCCACCTGAAAGTGCATGTGTATGTGTGTATATGTGCACGTGTGTATATGTATGTGTGTGCGTGTTTGCCTATGTGTGTGCGCGCGTGTGAGTGTTCTCGGGAGCGGGGGTGGGGCATACCGCTGCAGTCCGTGCTGGGAGCCAGCAATGCTGAATGTCCCTCACGGGGTCAAAGCCCAGGCAGCCTCCTCCTGGGGCTGCCTCTTACTCTCTTCTGGTGAAGGAAACCCCACCTGCATGCCAATTATGCCCAGTTGAGAAGCGCTTCCCTTGACCAAAGGGATGTGCATTATGAAGCTGAGTAATGATTTGTCCCGGTGAGGATGGCCTGATGGCGAAGGCAGCGGGAACGCAGAGCAAGGAATGAGTCAGGGTGAAGTTAAAGGAAGAACAGGAGGGTCTGGTAATTAACTGGATATTGGAAGAAGAAGGAGAGGGCACGATTTGGAGGCTGGAGGAGTCAGAAGGACACTCGCATAAATGGGTAGGGCAGAGAGTCCAGGTTAAAGGGGAAGATGAGTGTAGTCTAGGAATTTTCAGATTTGAGAAGATCGTCACACGTAGGAGAGAAACAGGAGAGAAGAGTCTAGCTCAAGGTCCCCGGTACTGATTGGAGAATCACCAGCATAAGGGTGGGACTTGGGACTTGGGAAACTAACAAATATACTAAGTGGGTATCGCTAGAGAGAAGGCTGAGGATGGAACTGAGGTGGGGTGAGCACCTGCTGTAAGAGGAAATGCGGTGGGAGACACGGGCTACGGAAAGGAAGGTATGGAAAAAGGAGTACTGGATAATAATGGCACTTACTGCGTCCAGTGTCACATTTTACACGTAGTAAATCACTTAGCCTTCATAACAATACAATGAGGTGGCTATCATTATCCACATATTACAGATAAAGAAACTGAGACTCAGGTAGGCTAAGTCACCTGCTCAACAGGTAGTGGTGGAGCCAGGACCCAGCCAGCCTGGCTCGAGTCCAGGCATATAACAGTTTGCTCGGCTGCCTTTCCAATAGGAGAATGACCTAGAACCCAGGAGGCAGGAGATGACCAGCAGGGTTAAAAATTCCCTGAGAACTGAAAGGTAGTGTGCATTGAGGAAAGGCCACTGGATTGAAGGCCCAAGAGTTTGGGAGATACAAGGGGGATCGATAAGGCTGGTGGGGAGTCAGACCTGGGGCTGGGCCTGAAGGTTGGGGACACAGAGCAAAGCGATATGCAGGGGCTCAGAAACAAGTTATGTCAATGCCACCCAGGATAGTGGTGCTCTCTTCAAGTGTCTTTCCACCTGAACACCCCAGATTCCCCAGCCCCACCACCCCACTTGCTGCTAGTGAAATAATCAATCTAGACTGCAGCTAGGGAGGTGAATGGCTGAGAAGCCACGCAAGAGGCAGAGTGATGGCTGGGGTAGTAGGGAAGGTTGCTGTTCTCTGGACAAGTGTTGAGCCCTGAAGTTGCTCCCATCCCCACCATCAGAATCTGTTTACTGCATCTCCCTCAACCTTAGTAAGTATTGCTCTGCAAAGCTCCAAAAAAAATCACAGGAGGGAACAAGAATGATATGACACCAATTGGCCTTGTAGTTTCATAGCTAGAAAATATTTAGCCCATTTGCAAAGATTTTAAAGTGGAACTGCAAAACACAAAAGAAATTTGTGTGGAGGCCAGCCAAAAATAGCTCTGGGTTCAACATTAAAGGAGAGATGTGACCTAGCATTACTTGGCCATTAAACCTAATTATGGAGCAATTTAGAGTTCCTTGACATTAAAGCAATGATAAAAGAGAGTTGCTTTTGGTGTCAATAGCCAACCCCAAGTGCAGCAGCACAGGACGCAGATTAAAAAGCAAACCACAAAAGCACATGTTTGTTTTGGAATATGTGGGCTTTACAACTTGCATAAACCCCCCAGGGTGACTTGGCTGACCTAGGATGGAGCCAGGACAACCGCAGAGTTTATAGAGGCGGTTCTCTTTTCTCTTGGTGAGGGCCACATTCCTGGGGGCAGTCAGGAGCTTGAGAGGAAGGAGAGAACTGGTACCTTTTGAGTTTGTATTGCTTCACTCTTCAAGCCTGGCTCAGCCTGCCCCAGGCAGGACGTAAAACCATCTGGCCTGGGAGGGGCTCCAGGCACAGCAGGCCCTCCTATGCCCCCAACGGAGTGCCCTGCAGGAAATTTGGGTTTAACAGTCGAACCCAACAGTGCTTAGGCCATGTTTCTGCCCTGCTCAGAGATAATGGGCAGTTGAATAAGGCTCAGCAGCCACTTCATTCTGCTAGAGAAGCACCTACCCTGGACTTTCCAAGCTGTGGAAATTGCCAAGTCATGCACCCAGCCTGTCTAGTTTTTATACCAATGCTGGCTGAATGGATCTAAGAGTTGGTAACTTATGGCTCAGTTAAGGAAGCGTTTCATGCATTTGCTCGTTTATCACTTACTGACTACAGAGGTGGCCAGATTTCATGACAAATGGTGCAGAAAGTATCTTTGGTGTTGAAAGTCTTTATTGACACATTTGATAAAGTTCAGCGTTGGTACTGATGAGATCTGGGTTTGGTTCAGAATTGAATGCTAAAAAGCTGATAAGTGTTTGTTGTCACTCCCTCATCCCACCTACTTCCTTTTTGCTTAGTAATTGGGCTTCCTCCGGACATGTGTACAGTCTGGGCCCAATGTAAAAACCTTACCCTGGCTAGGACAATGTAAAACAAAGTTTCTTATGACAAGCACTAAGCAAACGATGGTACCTGCTAGCATTGCATCTGGGTTCTCAGTCCCTTTGAAGTTAGTCCCCCTTTCATGAGAGCTCCCTCCTGCCGGCCTTTCCCCATCCTCAGACACCTAGGAGTGAAGTGTGTGGGAGCCAGTGTGCATGAAGGCCAATCCTCTACCAGACTTCCACCGGGGGTGGCCCAGACCTTCAGGGCCAGGTCTTGGGTCTTCTCGCCCTCTTCCCTGTGTTCCTACTGTCGTTCTCATCTTTATGTGAGGGCTCCCAAAGTGACATCATGCCTTCTAGAACTTCACTTTCATGCTTGACATCTTCACTTGAGTGACTCCCAGGCACCTGGAACGTGATACACTGTTGATTCCTATGCCTACTTCTGCCCACCTCTCCCAAATTGTTCATCTTTCACCCTCTTATCCCAGTGGATGGTGCCATGTCTACCCAGGCGCCAAAGCCAGCAGCCTGGGAGTCATCCTTATTTCTTCCCTCCCCACCAGCCCCCAACCACACACCTTCACAAGTCTTATCGTCTTTATCTCCAAGACGCTGTAATAATCAGGGCATTCCTGTCCTTCTCTCTGCTGCCCGGCTGGTCCCAGACAACATCATCCCTCACCCGGGCTATTCAAACGTTCTGTTTACGGCTGTTCCTTTTTTTCACTCTGTCTCTCTCCAAACTATACCTTTAAAAGCATAAGTTAGATTACATCACACTTCTGCTTATACCTTTGTACTCCTTCCTATGACACCTTGGCTTAAATAAGGAGCATTTAATCCACTTAATTTCAGGGCAATTATTCTTGTTGCTGCTAGGATTTCAGTTATTCTTCTTATTGTTCTTCCTAAGGTGATATTTTTTTTCTCTGGCTGCTTTTAACGATTTATATTTGATTATAAACGGTATTGGGCTTCTTTTTCTTGTACTGCTTGGAATTGACTGGGCCTCTTATATAAATATGGAGATTTGGCATTTTTCATCAATTCTGGGGGAAATCCCGGACACTAGCTCTTCAAATATTGCCTCTGCCAGATCCTCTTTCTTAATCTTCCTGTTGTGACTATCAACAAATGTATTTTAGACATTCTTACTCTACTCCATTTTTTCTTGCTCTTTCTTTATATTTTTCATATTTGGTCTCTTCTTGCTCCATTCTAGATATTTTTTTCTGACTTATTTTCTAGTTCATTAATTCTTTCTTTAGGTATGTCTAACCTGCTATTAATCATATCCATTAAGTTCTTAACCCTATTATTTTATTTTTTGGTTCAAATAGTTTTATTTTTTTAATGTCATCTTTTGTCCTTTTTTAAAATTTTTTTTTATTTTTTTTTAAAGATTTATTGGGGAATTGGGGAAGGAGAACAGCCAAGTTGCTGTCCTTTAATCTTAGTTGTGGAGGGCACAGCTAGCTCAGCTCCAAGTCCAGTCGCTATCCGGCTGCCCGTCAGCAGCTCAAGGCAGCTCAGTTCAAGGTGCTGTGTTCAATCTTAGTTGCAGGTGGGCAGAGCCCACCATCCCATGCAGGAGTCAAACCAGCTTGTTGTTAGGAGCACGTGCTCTCACCAGCTGAGCCATCTTGCCATCTGTTGACAGCTCAGCAGCAGCTCAGCTCGGGCACAGCTCAGGCACAGCTCACTGGCTCATGTGGGAATCGAACCTGCAACCCTGTTGCTCAGAGCTCTCACTGTTAACCAACTGAGCCACTCGACCGGCCCATCCTTTTATCCTTTTTGATACCCTACAGATTTATATAAATGTGTCCTCTTTTTCTCTATATATATAGTAATCATAGTAGTTTTATCTTTTGAGTATGCTAATTCCAACATTTGGAGACTTTAGGCATTTGACTTGATTTTAAAAAAGTGATTCTGCTGTTTCTTCCTCAGGCTTTTTTGTTGCGTTTTTTATACTGGATTGTATTTTGTGGGTTGCTGGTAGTTATATTTGTGAGCTTATTAGTATATTGACATTTGCTCTTGCTAGGTGACAGAGGTATTTTCAGGTAGAACCACCAAGTTTAAGTTTGAGGCAGGACCCACCAAAATAGTATAACCCTTTAGGGCCTGATTTATCTATGATTCATGCTTTCCCTAAGGATGTAGTCTTGGGGTTCCAGCTCATTAGACTCCTACTGTGTATGGGCCTGGGCTTTGATTTCTAAAACTATAAAAATGAAAATTTAAATGTGTAGAGATTAGCAAATACAATCAGGGAAAGTGCAGCTTCTGTGCTTACTTGACTCTGCAGGTTCATATTTTCCCTTTAGCTTTAGCCTGGGAATGTCTTACTATGTCGTCAGCAATACAACAGTTTTTAAAAGGACTTCAAAAATATTTTATTTAGTGATCTGAATGATTTTCAGCTGGTGAGAGATGGTTTGAAATAAGCTAGTTCACCATTAACAGAGATTTGCATTTCTCATCTTTGTGTAGGTAAAACAATTTGTTTTTCTTGATTTATAACCAGTCTGGAATTTGAAAAATTGTCAAAATCTGGGGTCAGGAGTCTATAGGTCTATTCATCTCATCTTTTGTTGGTGTTTTGGAGCTCATAACAGACATTTTTGAGAACTTTATCTTTTTCTCCTCTGCGACGGTCAAGAGAGATAATTTAATTTGCTACTTTCCTTGTTCTTATTTGCAGATGCTGACGAATGGCAAGAGTCAGAGGAAAATGTTGAACATGTCCCATTCTCCCACACCCGGTATCCTGAGAAGGAAATGGTTAAGAGATCTCAGGAATTTTATGAATTTCTCAATAAGAGACGGTCTGTGAGATTCATAAGTAATGAGCAAGTCCCAATGGAAGTCATTGATAATGTCATCAAAGCAGCAGGTCTGTAATTGTATATTGGGCCTTTGAGAACATCAGCTGCTTTATTGCTGTGACTATGTTGGAGCAATGTTGAAATTCAAACACAGTGAATAAAGCCTAGCGGTATAAGCTTACCTATAAAGTCACAGCCAGGTATACACTGACTGCCAGAAACATAACGAGTCTGCTTTCTATTGGGTTGTCGGAAAAGTCATGACGTATTTTTTCTATGTTTTTCGTTGCAAAAATGCGTCATGATGTTTCCAACAACCCAATACAAACTTTTGACTATTACAGACTTCTTGGGAGCAAATGTGACAAGAGTTTAAAATGTCTGAAATTATTTAACATTACGAAATTTTATTAAAAACTGAAGTTCCTGAACACACTATTATACATTAGAAGAGAAACATCTCCTCCCCCGCTTTAAAACACACACACACACACACACACACACACACACACACACACACACACAC